GGCGGAGCGGGGCCCGGGCCGCGCCGCTGACCCCTGCCGCCGTCCGTCTGTTGCAGATGAGTCGCCGCGGTGCGAGCGCACGGCATCGCTCTGAGCGGCGGTGAGCCATGGGGGAGAACAGCCCTGAGGGCGCCGCTGCCTGCTATGAAGCGGAGGAGGACGATCTGGCCCAGGATGACAATATGATGAGGTTTGCTGACAAGAACGGGCTGGTTTCTTCATCGTCCGGGACGGTCTACGACAGGACAACTGTGCTCATAGAGCAGGACCACAGCGTGCTGGAAGATGATGAGGATGAAGGACAGTGTGGTGATCACTTGCCTTTTTTACCTGAGGGTCACGAAGAAGGATTTCATTTAATAGCAGATCATGAAGGAATGTCCCAGGGTTACGTGCAACATATTATTTCCCCAGATCAGATTCATCTAACAATAAATCCTGGTTCAACTCCTATGCCAAGGAATATCGAAGGAGCGACGCTCACTTTGCAGTCTGAATGCCCAGAAACCAAGCTTAAAGAAGTGAGTAGCTACATGTCGTTCTGAATTTTATGTTTATTGTGAGTCCTTTTCACCTGGTGACCTTAAATGCATTGAAAAAATGTTTCTGTAAAGCTGTTTGCTGGGAGGCAGACAGAAGTTTCCCTTCTTCTTGAAGGTCACCATATAGTGGAGTGCATTACACTGCATTAAATCTCCTGTTACTTTTAGTGATAGTAATGCTTTGTGCTAGTAGGCATGGCTGTTTCCAGCAGTCGCTTAGTGGGTCAGCAGCAAAGCTGTGAGTGTTGTGAGTTTTCACTTTCATACCCTGCTGCGTTCTCATGAAGCAGCCAGGAAGCACTTTCTGACATGTGGTAGCGAACCAGGTAGCAGGGGAATCTAGTCCTGAAAATGCATTTCTGTTAGTAGCGTGCGTGGTTTTAGTTGTCTTTTATTTTTCTTTTGGTTGGGCAATTATTTCCTGAGTTCAGAGATAACTAAAAAGAACATGAACTTCGTTATACTGTGGTTGACCGCATTCTTGAGAAAAGCGTGTCCAAGTTACAGGTTGAATTCTAGACTGTTGGTGGCAGGTGAAGTATGACACGATGCCAAACTTAAACTTACTTGTAGCATTACTGTGTCACTCACAGGGACACTGTGTGAAGGAAGTAAGGAAAGCTTTAAATGACCATCTGTTATATTTTGAAAGCTTAAGCCAGCTTACATGTTTAAAATGACGATTACTTTTAATTCTGTTTCTCTAGTGAATTCTACCTGCCTGCAAAGTGACGCAAAGTAGTTGTACAGACTGAGTTGGGATTCTTGCTTTTTAGGTGCAAAAGTGATGCAAAGTTGACCAAAGTATCAACACAGTGACAACTTTGTGCTCCCTTTTTGGCCCTTCTGAGTTAAATAAGGGATGGTCTGTACAGTGTCTGTGCTAGTAGCAGTGGCAGGAGTATCAACTGCTTGTGTAACTGATATTCAGTGTAAGAGAGAGTTGCAGAAACGAACCTTTGCTGAGAAAGGGAGCTGGGTTTGAATGCTCTGAATAATTTAGATTAGCAGGGAATCTTCATTATTGCTTGCTCAGCAGTGAGGAAATGGGGCTGTCGGGGGTCAGTGCTGCAATTGTGGAGCTTCTGGACTGAGGTTTGTTCAATAAGCCTTTTCAGGTCCAAGGAACTCCTTTTGCTCAGTTATTATTTGTATTAGCAGCTTCTGCATCCTACCGTTTTAGCTGCCAAAATATTTAGATTTTGTATGTCAGTCATATTGCTGCTTTCTTTTTGTGGGATAATAAGCTTGCAATCTGCAGAGAACAGTATGTACTAGGTACACAGGTGTGGATGACTGCACAAGCAATTAAACTGATTTTATTTTGTCACCCCTGCTTTTTTAAAAAAGGCTTGTAAGACCTGGAATTTCCTAATGGAATCCTTTATCTGAATTTATCTTCCATCTCTTGAATTAACTTTCTGGGGTGGGGACGAGTTACACTGAGTGCAGTGGAAATAAGCCCTAAGCATATGTGACACGCTTCCATCTTGTAAAAGCCCTTTTTGTCCTGCTGTTTCAAACGCTTGATGAGCTGTCTGGAGATAGGGAGGGGAAGGCTCTAAAACCCCTGAACACTTGGCTTGTCTCTAAAAGTCAGCAGCCCAGTTCTTTGATACTTCTAAAACATCTGTAGCAGTTCTAATGCTAAAGATAACATCTTAAATTTTCGGGTCAGCCTTAGACATTTATGAAGCAAAAGAGGGTTTTACACTTCATTTAATTACCTTTAATTTTTTTTTGTTATATTATACTTCTCTCGCTACAATTCTGTTTGTAAGAATAAATGTGGTGATAGTCTGCTATTTCAAATTCAGTATGTTTTTTGTTCAGTGATGATACAGAAAAATTAGCAATTTAAGGGGAATCTTGTAAACTCAAGATGAGTTAAACAGAGCAGTTTAAGTACACTTTGGCACAGTGTCAGGCTTTTGCCAGTCTTGTTAATTATTGGACAGTTAGTTCCTACTTCTAAAGTAAATGCTTAATTAAGACTCTTCTGGCTTCCCTCTGCTGCATCTCCTTGGGATAGGCAGCACAGCCCTTTGCAGAAAGCATGTGTGGTGCAGCCACAGCCTTTGTCTTCAAAGCACCTTGTTTCTGTGTGCCCTGTATCGTAGCCATCTGTGGTTTTTCCTGTTGCTGCCGTGTTTCTTTTTTGTTGTTGCTTGTGTGTGGTCATGGTCTTGACTACTTGCTGCTATAACTTCAAGTCTTTCATGGTCAGTATCTACACAATTTTATGTGTACAATCAGTGCTTATTTGATGTGCTAATGTTCCTAATGTGAAAAGAGAATTACATGTTTTGCTGCTTTACAGAAAGTTTTATTTTGCTTGGAACGTGGTAGTAGTATTGCTTCTGTCTGCAGTACCCTTCTCAGAATGATTTGTGAAATAAAGATTTGCTCTTTGAGCAAAGGGGGAGCACTGCAAGGCCTTTGTCATAGTTCAGGCTGTTAAACTGAAAGTGTTACTGCCATCTTCCTTTAAATATGTGCATTGGCAGCTAGGAACCAAATCCTTAATCTGTAATTAATAATCTCCTTTTCTCTGACTTTCTAGACCTAAATGTAAACACCTAGAAAGTTTAACAGACTCCTCACTTGATTTTCAGGTAGTTCATGCCTGTGTCAAGTCCCTTGTGTATTCCAGAAGTACTGTGGAGAATGTCCTGTAATGCAGTATGTAAAATGTTAATTTCCAGCTGCCTTAAAACTCTAACAGGGAACATTTACTTCAGTAGTGATACAGAAATTGTACTGAATCTGATGATCCCTGGTGAAGGTGGTGTACCCCTTCCCGTCTAATAAAATGTGCTTTCTGTCCTTGTGTCTGTGGTTTATCGGCCTGTGCTCTTATGTTTTGGCTGACTCGACACAACCAAACTTTTTAATTGTTGTAACTGTATTGTAATGCTTGGATATTTATTGATAACTTTTACCTGATTTAAACTATAAATTAAGGGCAAGTTGCTTTACAGTGGAATTACTGCTTCCTTCTCTGTACTGTGCTTCTAATAATGTTAAATGACTAGATAAAAAAGTGAAGACATCCAGAACCTGTTCCTCTTCAAGTTACTGTTGGTCCTATCATCTAGATTGTTTTTTCAACTTAAACAGTTTACATTTTTGGTCTTTCCTCTTTTTACTGTCTTGTACAAAATCAAGGGAGAATCAGATGCAGACATTAACAGCTCATTTTGGTGTAGTGTACCATTTTTGTTGCTTTAGCACACATGTATTTCTGGACTAGCGAATCTGTAGGAAGTCAAATGCTTTATAGTGAATCTTGGATCACAGGAGGAGAAGGATTTAGCAAGAATTTGCTCCGTATTGTGAATTTCTTGGTAGGCTATCAAGTCATG